GCAAGAACCGGTAGTAAAATCGGTGGGAGGCCCCGCCCACCGCCCCGGATGTCATGATCAGTGATCTGCACATGCGCAGAAGCTTCAACTTCTGTGCATGCTTTACTAGTAGTAAAGGTAAGTAGAACCCACCTCTGGAGTACATAATAAATTTACTAGGACAACTAGCCCTAATAAACTAGTTGTTCTAATAAACTTATTAGCATGAGTATAAGTTTATTAGGACATAGCATAATCTCATATGAGTATAACATGAGTAGCAAATTTGTTTAGCATTCATTTTTAAACAACAAAGCTAATTTAATCTTCAAGACAAATATGTGGGACAAAATATGATTATATTTCAGACCATACCACTTTAAGCTCAATGGGGACACAAAAGCTAATGTTAGAAGAAAACTACATTAAAAAAATGTTAGGGAAAAATTGCATTCAAAAAGTGTATATTATAGTTATATAGAGGTGGGATCCAGGAGAAGAGCCTTCGCCGGTGTGGCCCCAGCGCTTTGGAACATCTTCGCCTGAGGTGAAATTGGATGCCACCCTCCAAACTTTCTGCAAGAACCTGAAGACATGACTCTGCCAGTTGGCTTGGGTCCCTAATAGGAGACTATCACACTGTAGTTGGTTGATCAAGTAATAGCAGTATATTCTACTCCCTTTCTCCCCATCTTTAGTTACTTACAACTTGTATTTTACTGCAAATTCAATGTGATTTTATACATATACATACATATGCATATGGAGAGAGAGAGAGAGAGAGAGAGAGAGAGAGAGAGAGAGGGAGGGAGGGAGGGAGGGAGAGAGAGAGAGGATTTTACTTTAGTCATTGCCAACTATAGGGGGCAGTGCTCATCTCCATTTCAAGGCCATTGAATCAGTACTGCCTGAAGCCATTTCCGCAATCAAGTGGCCAGCATGACCTCATTGTTGCCTTCCACCAAAGTGGTATCTATTTATCTACTTGCATTTTCATGCTTTTGAACTGCTAAATTGGCAGGAGCTGGGGTGAGAACAAGAGCTCACCTTGTCACATGGCACTCAGGTATCGAACCTAGGCTGCTGACTTTCCACCCAAAAAGCCCAGCATCTTAACCACTGAGCCACCGCATCACTCAGACAAGCAGACAGACAGTTCAATCGACAGAGAGACAAACAGACAAATAGATACAAATAGACAGATAGACAGATAGATGGATAGATGTTGTAAGTTGCCCAGAGTCGCCTTGCAGAGATAGGCATCAAGCAAATTTAATAAATATAAATAAATAAATATTGCAGAAAACATGCATTTTTGCCACAGATATCCTGATGTGTCTGTCTACAAACACACAGTAGATGTCTAATATAAAATCTAATTGAACTCAATCTGACAATATATAAATTCAATAAATAACAATTGCATAATTCATATACATAAAAGAAATATCAGGTTGATGGGGAAACTGAGCTGAAAACCCTTTAAGACTGAATCCATGAATAAGATGACACACATCCAAGAAGTTGATTGCCCTTTTATAGATATGTCTGCCATATTTCTTCAAACGGGCTACCTACCATTTGCTCAGGCTAAGGCATTTTCAAAAATGTATTTCCTTGGACGGAAACAAAACAATGAAAACAAGACCAGAGGAAGGGTGGTGCCATGGCCTTTGCACTGATTTTAGGAAGAAATGTTTGGCACAGCCTTTCAGGATTATTGCTTAATGGTTACCTTCAATCAGTAGACTGACTTTTATCTTTCTTAAGATAGATTCCAAATGAGCAAGCATAGCAGAAGTACTGTAAAGACAGACTTCAGCCAAATATTATCCAGAAGTTAGATCCCAGCAGTACCATTTCCTTCCTATTTACCAGCATTAACTTGCCATTCAGTCTTGGGGCTTACTGGCATACCAGTCAAATGGACTACAGTTACTCTCATATGTATGTGTGTGAAAGAATATAAAGGATTTATATACAGTATATCCATATCCATCCATCCATCCATCCATCCATCCATCCATCCATCCATCTATCAGTCTTCACAGGGTTCAAACAATCTCCAGTACCACCCCAAGAAAGTGAGGTTCTAGGTGACAGAATAAACAGGCTGAAGACCAAGATGCAGTTGAAGAGTGGCAAAGCCTACCTCTCAACTCCCCAAAAATAGTGTTACCAGGAAAAGAGAACATTTATTCCTTATCTACTTTCTCTTTTTACTTTTAACTTTCGCTATTCCCTCCCCAATATTAGATTGAGATCATACTGCAGGGTGGGATGTCTCTGGATGTCCTGGCCATCCTTGCTTGCATAAGTGCCATCAAACCTAAGTACAAGCAAAATGTTCATCATGCTTTGCTTCCTAGTACCACTGAGAAAAAAAATAATAAAGCACAACAAGACTCCTTAGGGTTCAGCTCTAAAGTTTGGTTTTGTGTTGGGGATGAATCCAGGAACTAGATGATCAACCTTTAAAGTGGTCCCGGCTGTTGTGTCTGAATCTGCAACAATGGGAAAACAGACCCGTTCTTCCCCAGAAAAGCATGGTCAGATTACTACAGAGAGTAAAAGCACAATAACAAGCTTTTTCTGTTAGCAACCCTACCTGGAACATGTGTTTTACCCCAATGGGGAGTCATGATAGCTAGTGCATCTCTGGGTTAGGAGAAACGGTTTCCAAGCCAAATGGTGCACAGCTTTTAGGAGGGCTTGAATTTCTAGGGATTCTGGGATTAGAAAATAACCCTACATTCAGTTCTTGCAGAGGTCCTGCATTAACTGGATTCTGTATAACTGCACCCAGGTAGTGTCGTATTGATTGAATCTATAATCATTTATGATTTATTACTTAGCAGGGTTTGTTCTTTTGAGTTAGTAGAATTTGGAATGAGTTGTTTTTAGCATGAGAATGAAAGATTCAATAGACTCCATATACTCCCAGCAGCCCTTTCTGTTCTTCTGTTGCCTCTGCTATTATGAAAGCCCCTGTTTCAGTCCACTGTGTTCCCTAAATTTAAACCAATTGTAAAACCCAATTGGAGCCAGACAGGAGGAAGTCAGTGTGCTCTGAGCTTGCTTTGAGTTTGCTGCCGTTGGTGCTGAATTTGCTGCCGCTCCCCATCAGGCAGTGATACAAGGACAAAGCATTAAATCAATGCCTTGGAAGAAGCAACTTCCAAGGAACTCAAGGAAGAGATTCATTTAAGACTTACAGAGAATACCTTTGTTCACTCCCCTCCTCTTTTGGCAAGTGTTTGGGTCTGGAAATATGACACTTGAATGTAGTGTTATTTATAAGCTTAGTGATAACATAAATATAAATGCAACATGCACAGCATGGCTTTAGCAAGCATTATGTAATCCTAATACCTAATTTAAAGATTGATTAGGCACTGGCTATGAAATGCCATGCATGCTTAGAGAATTCTTGTTCAATTAAAGGCTTATCACATATGGCTGCTACTACTACACTATTAGATGATAAACTAATGATTTTTGCGACTATGATTATTTTCATGGAATCCGAGAGGAAGTAAGACTATAAAAGAACAACCTCCCATTGCCTCCCGCCCTTTACTAGGATGTCTTTACTTCTAAAGCATGCTTCTGATATAGTTTCGGTACACAATGAAATATGCAAAGGAAAGCAATTTGAAAATACTACACAATGTTTCTATTCCCTTTTTGTCCACTTGTAAACATCTATTTCATTCAACGTTTTAGAGAAAATATATTCATTGAGAAAGAGGAAGAACAAAAAATGGGCTAAAAAAAGGTAAGATACAGAGATACAGGAGTAAATAAGGGATTGACAAATGTCATAAAGATTATACTTTTCCAGTATTTTAATTGACTTAGAATAGCTAAATATATTATATGGTATTAAAGGTCTAAAAATGGCTATTAAGCTCTAAGGAAACCATAAACATTCTAAAAACGGTCAGCACAGTACAAATCATAAAATGAAATAAATTAAAAGTGAATGATTTTTTCCATGCTAAAAGTCTATTCTAATTTACAAGTTGTATAAAATTAAAATAAAAGACTTTATGCAATCAAAGAAAACAAAATGTGGCATAAACTCATGTACTGAGCTGTTGTCTAGGAATGATACTCAATTTGAATGAAATTCTGTGGGGGTGGGTTTACTTTTGAGATATGAACTTCCAATGCTTGCAGAAGAAAATGTAATAATAATTTATCTGTGCAGACATATAGTATTATTTATCCTTCTTGATGTTCCATTAAAATCTGAATTTAAACCACTCCTCTGAGGGAAACTGCTGATTTCAGTCATGCATTTAGGGCAGAGAAACTGATTGTAATAAGCCATTTTAAGCAGAATTCTGTGAAAGAAATGGGACTTATTTCCAAGTAATGTTTGCTTCTAAGTGCCAGTTTAACGCAGCAGCAGTTCCTGCATTTCACTTAACTAAGAATAGCTTTGCCTTCGCCCTTCCAGAGAGACACCTTCAGGTTTATTAACACATAGGAAGTTTTGTTTCAGACAATGTGGACTCCACCCTTAAAATCAGTGGAAACCGATTCAAGTAATATTTATACTTTCTTGGATTTGGAATTGAGAACCGACTCCAGCCAACCAAGATACACTTCTCTCTTCTTTCCAATATTTGAGCTCATACTTCCTCAGACCTTCTTTAACCCATCACATCAGTATATGGCCTGCTCAATCTTTAACTGAAGATCTGCTTGATTAGGAGAATGGAGAATGAACAGAACAGCTGATTTTATAAAGGCCACCACAGTTCAAGCTTACATCTCCGCAAGCATCTAACTCTAAGGAAGCAATGGAAGAACGACGTCTTCATTTTTTCCCAGAGACTCTATCTTCTTGACACCAGTTGGCTATCCTGCCAGATCTTTAAACTTGCAGCCAGCCTTTCTCCCTGACTTCTCTCCATGCAGAGATATAAACTGCCAAGTGATGGCTTGTAAAGCAAGATTCCTGATTTGTATCCTCATTAGTGAATTACCGAATGAGAGATCAATCTTCTTACCTTGAACTGACAGACGCAAGTCACGGTATCACCAATCCTTAAGCACTCCCCGTCAAATTTGCAAGTATTGGTGTCACAGAGAAAGAGATCATTTTCTCTGTCATCATAACCTCAAACAGAAGAGAAAAATGCTGTCAGCTTCAGTCTGGCAGAGGGACGGGAACAGGGCAACTGCTTTTTTAGGCACCTAGCACAACAATCCTCGTGGAAGAAGCATATGCTATTTTCTCATACCCACTTTGGCTAGCATCCTTTCTCCAAAGGAGTTTGCTATTCCGGCATACTCACCTTGCTGCTGCCACCTCACCTTTTTCTCTGTGAGGAGATTTTAGTTTCTCAAATATCAAACATTTGCTTGTAAAGCAACACATTTCCTGCCCCTCCTAACAGTTTTTCTGTCCCTAAGTCTAAAATGGGAATTTCTTCAACGCTCCTCTAGTAATAAAGATAAACCAGCTGCATGATTTTTGTGATAGGCTGCCTGGTTCCAATGAAGACTGATCACCTCCAGGTTAATAGGAGGGAGGGGGCAGGTTTTGCAAAGAGCTGCTGAAAGAGCCTTTCCTCCAGTTCTGATAGGCAGGTTAATAGATCTGGCTAGCGAGTCAGCTCACAAATGCCTAGTCAGTTGTCAGACCTCAGCTAGTTGCCATCCTATTCTGAGGGTGTGTAGCAAGGGATTAAACAAAACAGCCATTTTTCAGGCTCTGAATCTAGCGTTCATATGATCCTTATGTTCTAAGGTTGTAGAGCTCGGCTGTGTTTTAAAAATGAAAACATTACTCTAGGGCAAAGGCAACATTGCTCTGAATGACTTGGATAGTGGAGGCACAGCCTCCACCAAACCATGCCATTCCTGTAATGTATCTGAAGTAGTTTGGGGAATACTTTTAACATTACAGAACAATAGTACCAGGCTAAATCCTACAGATGCTGCAAAGGTGACTGAGATAGGAAGCTTTGGGTTTGACTTAACCAAATGAAGATGAGGAAACTGCAGTGCTGACCAAACGATGTATTCAGCAAGTATTGTCCCCACCTTCTGTACATAGAGAGAAAAGATCTGCTTTTGCTTCAGATTCAGAGTTTCACACTTTTTATGGGGGGAAAGAGAAGCTGCATTTTTCTAGTGGTTTGCCATTTTTCTCACTGTGCATGTATAGATGCACAGTTGTAAATGGGTCCTTACATAAGAAATATAGAGATTTTCACTGGAAGGGAAAGTACTTCCAGAAACATTTGGAAGTCAAGCTCATGTGGGAAGCATGATAGCACAGCTGGTAAGCACATTCCAGACAGAAGAACAATTAACCTTTTGAGGATGAGCCTGATCATCGGAAAAGACAACTGATAGGGAGAGGTAATAATAACTCTCTGGTGCTGCCTCTTCCTTATTCAATTAGAGGGTTTCAGTTGGAGGGTGCCTGGAAAACCACTTTGAGCAGGAATGAGACTGACCAGAGAAATCAGGCAAAGGAAGCCTGCTTAATGGCAGCTTTCAGAAACAATAGGCAGCTTTGGACCCGATTTTTAATACTTTGCTTTTCTTCTTGGGAATAAAGTCTTTCCTCCAATTTAACTCCTTTCCAGAAAACATCTCATATTTTAAAGTTAAGAGAGAAAGAGAAAGAGGGTGTGAAGCAAAGAACTCATGGTCACCCCAAAGAACTAAAAATCCCCAGAGAATGCCCAAAGCCACAAGGCAGGTGGAAATGATCTTTCTGGACTTGCTGGTTCTTGGTAAGCAGTCCAGACTTTCCTGCACAAAATATCATCCCTTTTAAGTGCTCTCTTGCTCGCTTGCTCTAACTTTGAATAGCGGGCAAGCGTCCTAAGAATCATTTTACAAGATCCACCCTTTGCCGGCAGGTCGGTTCAGACAACACAAGCCTAGCGAGCTTCACCATCCAAAGTCAGTCTCGAACAGAGGCAATTCAAGGCGGGATGGAAGTAGCAAAAAAAGCTCGTTAGTCTGTCTAACATTTCCAGACAGCCCCGCGGTGGGCCGCTTTTCAGAAGCGCATCAATCCCACCCCTCGAACCCTCTTCCTCTTTCGCCCGTCCGGGGGAAAAAAAAAAGGGTGCCTCTGTTTGCAAAGGGGAAGACTCCATTTCTGCCCCACGTTCCCGCCCAAGCTTACCGGAGCAATTCCAGCCGGTCGGCGTTTGGCAGTCACTTAAGGAGGTAGGGAAGGCTGCAAGTTTGTCCGGCCGGGCGACGATGAGCAGTGTCACCGGCAGAAGCAACCAGCAAAAGCAATCGCAAAGTGTCCAGCTGCTGCACTGGCGAGCTGCGGAAGATTCCCACAACACCATGACTTCTGGAGTCAACTCTAGAGCGGCCGTGAGAGGGAAGCTCCCCAAAGCAGGTCGGTCTCGGACAGGCGGGCAGCAAGAGGCGTCGGGGGCGACTTAGCATCCCGGGGGCCCCAGCCAACAGGAAGCTAGGAAGAAGAAGCACCCAAGTCCTAGCATGGTGAAGATCCTGAGAGTTTCGCCAGAGATATCCGGGGGCCTAGCCCAGCCCAGGGAGTGGCAGGAGCAAGGGCGGCCAAGGAGGAGGAGGAAGAGGAGGAGAGCCAGGAGGCTGGAGCAGCCGCTGCCATAAGGGGTCGGGCTGGGCTGAGCTGGAGAAAAGAGCGTCAAGGCGCTTCGCAGCCAAGCCGCCGCCGCTGCCTCCTCTCCTGCTCTGCCGCCCGCATCCCTCTGGCGTTGGGAAAGCAGCAGGTCCTCTCAGCCCGCCGGGGTCACGTGGCGCAGGCAGAGCCGGCCCTGATTGGACGAGCGGGATGCAGGTCCCTGGGAAGGAGGGGGAGGGAGGCAGGGTGGTGGTGGCGGCGGCGGCAGCAGAAGCAGCAGCTGGAGCGAGAGATGCTGATGCTAATGTTGGCTGGGCTGGGTCCTCTCTCTGTGAGGCGCACCGGGGAAGCTCGGGGGCGGCAACACCCTACCCCGCCCTGTGAGCTGGTGGGGCTCAGCCGGCAAGTGGCGGACGAGAGAGAGAAGCCGCTTCTTCCCCAGACGGACGAACTGATTCGCAGCAAAGACTCGGGCGTCGGGGATCTCGGACTGGGCGACGTCTTCCGCACGAAGAAACCCCCTCGCTCTTCTCGTCCCCTGGCCGGGAAGAGCCGCCAGCTGGATCTACGGCGCGATGCTTCGTCGGCGCCCTCTCGAAAACCTTGCATCCTTCCAGGGCTGAGGCGCTTTCGCGGCGCAGCGTCCGCACCGCCGCCGCCGCCCGCTTTCCCGAGCCCTCCCGTAGACTGAGCGCGCAGACACGCGCTCATTGAGCCGAGGTCCCAGCCAGGCGCACCACAGGCGTGTGAAAGTTGGATTGCGGTCACTACGCATGTGCGAGCGCTGGAGGTCCGCGAGCGCGCGCGCGCGCCTGCCTATATGTGTAAGTGTGTGTGTGTCTGAATGAGGGAAGCGTGTGTTGTGTATGTACGCGAAGAAGCGGCGGCAGCAGCAGCAGCGGCGGCTGTATTTAGAAGAGGCGGCGGAGGTAAAGATCCGTAAATGGGGTCCGTACGCGCGGAGGGAGGGTCTGGGGAAGAGTCGTGGAAAAGACTATGGCCCCGTTTGCACAGTTCTTGGATGAGTGACTTGAGTTTTTCTCTCTCGCCAGCCGGCCGGCCGCGCCCGAAAGGGGCCATTCTTCAAGAGTCTTCGTGAGTATGTTTCTTTCGTAAGTGACCAGGCAGAAAACTGGGCTGCAGTGCGTTTTGCAGCTGGAAACACCCAGCTGAAGCGCGGGGCCTCTTAGCCCGAGGTTTTGAAAGTTCGTCGCGACAATCCAAGGAGCGCCGTTTACTCGTGGAGGTTGTGGAAAGAGGAAGGGAAGAAGAAGAAGAAAAGATGGAGGAGTGAGAACAGAAACCAGAGAGAGAGAGAGAGAGAGAGAGCAACGGCTAACAATTCAATCTCTCTCTCGCTCTCCCGAAGAACTGACTATCCGCCGCTGGGGGCGTGGAGCACTGCCGCAGCCGCCGTCCGCGTCAATTCACCAGGAGTGTCGTCGTCCTCCCCGGTTCAGCTCCAGGGCTCGGTCGGAACCACACCCTGGCCAGGTCTCCCTCAAGTCGTCGAGAGGACTTGGTCAGCACGCAGGATCCCCCGCCTTTCCTCCCACCCGTCCGGACCGGGCTGCAAGGCCAGCGCTCGGGGTTGGTTTTTTTGCCTGTCAAAAACGTGTGTATGTTGCTGTAGGAAATGTACGTATTTGTTGAGAAAAATCCGGGAGGGAGGATTAGGAGGAGAAGAAGAACGGATAATTTAAGTGTTGACTTTTTTTTTTTTGCTCTGGTCAAAAAGCGGAGGAGAAAACCCACCAGAGAAAAGGAGGCGTCCGCAAGAATGGAGAAGGGGAATCCTATTTGCTTCTCCCTAGAACCGAGGACGATGCGGGAGAAGAACGAAAAGTGTTAATCGGCGCCGCCCGCCCCATGTTGCTTAATTTGTTTCTGCCTTAATCTCGACGCCTTTGGCCGACGGCCCCAATTGCTCCCCACGGGCAAACGTTCTGCGGACCCTTCCGCCCACGCCGCTGCTCCGCTTCCCACGGAAGTCGCGCTTGCCTTTACCCTCCTCCCCGTTGCGCCCACTCTACTCTCTTTCGCGCGCTCGTCCGCCCCGTGACAGCGAGCGGAGAAACCGCGGCCCTTCAAGTCTGCGCTATGCAGCGGCTCTAGTTCCTTGACTGCATTAGCGCGAGCGGGCGCGCGTGCTCGCAGGAAGCAACCCGGACAAGCAAGCGGCGATCAATTAGTCCTGACGGCAACGAAGAAGCGTTCGGCAGACGCAGCTGCATCAAGTCTTCGAAGGAAAAGGGGGGAAAAAATGCCCATTAGAGAGAGAGAGAGGAGGAGGGAGTGCGGGGACAGCCCTCATCCAAGAAAACAAGAAGCAAACGAATTAAATATATCCTATTCACACACACAAACACCCGCGCGCCTTTAGATTCGGAGGCTGCTTCAGCCGAAGTAATGGCATCGGTTTGCACGAACGGCGATTTTAACCGCTCGGAACTTGCAGGCGAGCCAGGCAGGGTTGGGTTCCCTGTTCTTTCCAATCGGCCAGATTGGCAATTTAATCAGGCTCGTAGGGGAGAGAACCCGCGCTTTCAAGGAAATGAAAGCAAAAGCCCATTAGCAAGCGTTTAGGCAGCAATTGCGGTGATCAAGTAAAAAGCTGAACCTCGCGGGAGTTCAGGGCTCGGGTAATATTTGCTGGGCGGGACAAGGGGCGAGGCATGAAAGAGGCAGAAATTAGCCTGCCCTTGGGTCCGCGTTGGCAGCTTTAAAAGCCATTCCAGTAAATTCGCGGTCCTGCTTAAAATCATCTTGCTGCGAAGTTTTTTTGTTTTTAACGCGTGCGTTTGCATCCGTTCAGATCGTCTTTTTTTTTTTTTATGCTTCCTCCGTATTGGACAGAGGAAGAATTGTTACGTTTTTTTAACATTTGGGCCTCAGTCACTCTCTCACTTTCTGTGGCTTCCCATACAGGGAGACTTGAGTTAATCCACCAAGGGAGCATAGCACACAAAGCTCCACCATGTGGCAAGAGCGCATCAGTCACTGGGTACTGAGTACTGGAAATAGCAGTTGAATAAAAGAAATGGCTTCTCCCTGAATTCTGACAAGTCAAAGGCTGCCAGCAAGTGGAGAGAAAGGGGGGGGGGGATAATCACTTAGCGATGCTTTGAGAAGCAGCCTCTCAAACATTCATCTCCAGCAGTATTGGATGTATTACTGTTGCCCATCCCTATTCACATGGGTGGAAACATTAAAGGCTCAAGAGCTGGTAGAGAAGTGAAGTTAGACCCACCCACCCACCCCACTCACCTCAAGATTTGGCTGATCTTTCAAGATTAACCAAAATCAATGCCACTGCATTAAAACATTGATCCCATTAAAGCATGTCATGTACAAGTTCTGATTTGCTGTATATGTATTTATTTGCAACCATTGGTTTTAGCAAAATTAGTTCTAATTTGGAGATAGGCAAAGAGTCCAGCGTTGCTAGGCTGGAGCACAGCTCCTTAAACAGACCAAAGTAGTACCATAACAATGAATAGTTATACATGGCAGTAATCATCTCCAAAAGGGGGGGAAAACCTATTTATCAAGGCATCATTGTGAAAGAGATAGAGAAATCTAAGAGAAAATGATTTCTATAGTAGCATATATAACTGGCAGAATTCAGCTAATTTTGGCTGATCTCAAAAAAGCTTGTTGGTAACCAGCTAAACATGTTAGTTAGTACTTTGATGAGAGACCACTAAAATCCCATGGAAATGGGATATAAACTAAACGGGGGGAATTAAAAATAAACCCTTGAAGAAAGCAACAACAAAATGCTTATGCTCTGTTGCTAAAGTAAAATCATCATGGGGTAGGATTGCCCTGCGGGACACTTGAATAGCATTGCAGAAGATTCAAAATCTGAATTCTAGCTTAATAGTTGACCCCAACTTTGTATGCCAAGACAAACAGCCTGATGCCCTTAGGAGCTCCCATCTGGCCCAGTACTTAGCCAATACTTGTCTTGCTGCTTCAATTTTTGAGTGCAGTGCCTGAACCCCAGGCCTTTGATGTGAGCTGTGACTTTTAAGGATAAAATATGTCAATTACACAAATGGTTCCAGTCCTCTTTGATGTGTTGATAGAATAAGTCCACTTTCTTTTTCGCTTGATGGTGCTACTACTACTTCTATTGCCCCTTTTGAATATTCCCAAACCCATCTGGTATCTTACTTGGCATGTGAGTGGCCAACTGGCAACTAGAGTTGCATCCATAACTACAACTCCTCTTTGTCAGCCACGTCTGATTGAACAGATTTTCTTTCCCATATGAAATAAAAGGAGCCTCCATGGTCATTACATTCTCACACAGATTTTTTCATGTTGCCTTTTGATCTTGCCCCGGGAGTGATAATTGCTAAGCTCCAGGCAACTTGTGCCAAAGTCTGAATTCCAGACTTGAAATTCCCTGCAGTTAAATAAATTTCAGTTTTCATTGTTCTGAGGAGCAAATCACTGTGAATGTTTTCTGGTTGGACTACCTATGAGTTTCCTCCATACATAGCAGCCTGATTTTTCATTATCAAAATACTTTTCCACCATATTTCTAAATAAACAATAAAAGCCACCCATAAAAGTAACATTTCAAGATCAAATTCATTTTTGTCAATTTATTTCAGCATTCTTTTTCTCATTGCTTGATATAGATTTTGAGGAGTGAACAATTTGAATGTGGATAAATAAAAGTAATAATTCTTTTATGTTTTTTTTATTTTTATTAGTTTATAGTATAAAACTACACAAACAAATAGGAAAAATAGAAGAGGGAAAAGGGAAGGGAAAAGTGTAGAAAAGAAGGGAAAAAGAAAGAAAAAGCATTGACCTTTGGTGCAGTAAAATAAGATAGTAACATCAAACCTCAACTTTTTACTTCTACATAGTATAAAGTAGCCATTTCTATACCAACAAATCTATTTAATCGGTAAAACTGAAAATCAAAGTTTCATTTTTTCCCCCACCTCAAGCACAAAGTGTAAAAGTAGTTTCCAAGTAGAAACTTTTTCTTATAACAGTCAATTTAGCCATATCTGCTAAGTCCATAAACTTTTTCAGTCATTCGTCCACTGTGGGAATCAATGTGTCCTTCCATTTTTGTGCATAAATTAATTTTTGTCACCGTCAATGTATATAACATCAAAGTTCCAATTTTTTTCTAAGTATTTTTCCATTAAAACAAAAAGGGAAGTTTCTGGTTTTATCTTAATATTCACTTTAGGAATCTTCTGTATTACAATATGAATCTCACTCTGATATTTCTTTGCTTTATCACATGTCCACCACAAATGATAAAAAAGTTCCTTCTTTACATTTGCATTTCCAACATTCATTTGGAGTACCTTTATAGATTCTTGATAATTTATCTGGTGTTAAATACCAACAATATATTATCTTACAAAAGTTTTCTTTTAAACTGTAATTCAGTGTAATTTTTAAACCTCTCATCCACATATTCTCCCATTGTTCAAGCTTTACATTATATCGAATGTTCCTTGCCTGCTGAATCATACAATGTTTTACATATTCACTTTCCAAATTCAAATTGAATAGCGTTTTATGAACCTTAGCAACAATATGTTCATCATTACCACACAGTAGGATTTCCAATTCATTTTTAACAAGGTCAAACCCATAACTCTTTGTCTAATTTAAATCAATCAGTTGTAAATACGTAAACCAATGGCACACATGTCTCCTTCTGATTCTAGTTCTTCCTTAGGCTTGAGGATAGGATCACCAAGATTAAATGATATTATTTTACCATAGGTCCACCGGTTTGGCTTCGCCATCATTTCTTTTCTGAAAAAAGCTTATTGAGGGAATACTCTAAGAGGCATCTTCGTAGAAAACCTTGTTTTATATTTATTCCAGACTCTTAGAGTGGCACATCTAACAAAGTGGTTGTTAAAAATCAATATTTACTTCAACCTTATGATATCAGAAATAACCGTGCCACCCAAATCTTAATTCATGACTCTATAAATCAAGTAGCCTCTTATTCTGGAGGTTCACCCACTCTTTTAGCCAGACCAAACAAGTATTAAAATATAATTTCAAGTCTGGTAAACTCAAACCCCCTCTTTCCTTAGCATCTTGAAGTACTTTAATTCTTGATTTTTTCCCTTGCCATATATTAACAATATTGCTCTGCCATTGTTTAAATTGAGTATCAGTTGCATCTTTGTAAGACATTCATCTTAATTACAGAACTTCTACCCAATAATGATAAATGCAGTTCATCCATCTTAATAAGTCCTTTTTAATATCATTCCAGAGAGGCACATAAGTTATTTTGAAACAGATTTCTATTTATATTCGTCAATATGACCCTCAAATATTTCACCTTTTTGTCAATCCTAAAACTAAACATTTTAGTCAATATATCACAGTCCTGTGGGGTCATATCCTTAGTAAGCATTGTTGTTTTCTGTTTGTTTATTTTAAAACTTGCTTAAAACCTCAAACTTATATAATTTCCTCATTAAATATTCTATATTATTTTGGGGGTCTTCCAAGAATATAACCAAATCATCAGCAAATGCCCTCAATTTATAAACTTCCTTCTTGATACTTACACCTGTTATTTTCTCATCTTGCCTGATATCTCTATTCAAAACTTCCAAAATAAACAACAAGGAAGACAAGGGTCATCCTTGTCTCACCCTTTTGGATTTCACATGAATTGATTAAATCAGTGTTATTAACAATTTTTTCTTGCTGTGACATGTAAACAGGTTTAACTCTTCGGATACAATTCTCCCCAAAGTCCATTTCTTCCAGAACTTTAAACATAAAAGCCCAATTTAGATTGTAACAGTAACGGTTAAAAAGAAACAAAGGAGTATAGCCTTGAGAATCATTACTGACAATATGTAATATTGTCTATATGTAATAATATATCTTGTCTCCTTTGTTTTAAAATTTTATTTGGAAGAAGGCACTTGAACTTTTTCCTCATGCAGTTTTCATTTTTCAGGTTTACATGTCTGGATGGAAAAACTTTTTCCTGGGGAAAAAAAATGATATATATCACCCCTTTTAGTTGATTTTAATTTTGTTTCTCTTGGTGCTCTTGTTTCTTTCTGTGCTCTTTCAGGAATTATGGAGAGAAAATCACAAATAGCAGTAATGAGAGATAATTAAAACAGTTGAGAGCAACATACAAAGGTTCCACTTAATTCTTGACATTTTGAGTGCACAGGTTGTGGAAGAAAGACCTCTGGCTGGAACCTCTTAGAGCTCTTTCCTCAACCAAACAACACTGAATTTAGCTCAGTATAAGACAGTGTTTATCTAAAGCAGTTGCCCTCAGTCTGGTGTACTCCAGATATGCTAGAAATTCTGTTTCCAGAATTTCTAATCTTCATAGAAGGAAAATTCGAAAGAAGACCTATAACATTTGGAGACAACGGACTGGGGAGTGCTGATCTAAAAAGCTCTTCACTAGTTGAAATTATCTTTGGTAATCTGATTGATTTATCAATCTTGTTTTTTACCTATCAAAATGATCCATTGTTAGAGTTCTTCCTAATGCTTAGTTATTTATTAACATTCATCTAGTACATTTCTAGACAATTTAGCAGGCTTTACAGTATTGTAGATGTTAGGATATTAGGAAGTTAGTCATAATATTAACCATAATCACGATAACATTTGGTTTCTGAACTTTCTGTACTCTAAGAGCTCTCCCGAGATAACTAAAATTTGTTCCATAAACAAATATGTAATTCCCTCCCCTTTTTTTCTGGAAAACAAAAGGAAATCTGATAACTTGATTTTAGGGCATACTTAACAAATCTAGAACAGTGCAGTAATAAGCAGAAAACCCCCAAACAAGAAAAAAGAACTGAAATTTTTGACCTGTCTGGATGTATCATATAATTATGGCTTCTTCACTTTGGTCTGAGTAATGTGTAGTTCCAGGAAGCAAAATTGCCCCTTTTTTCTTTTATAACTCTAGGCACCCCACATAGGCGTCTGTCTTCTTTTCCATCTCTTACCTTCTTTTAAATTGCTTTCCATGTATCTCTTATTTTTGAATGCAGACTTTGCTAGTGTTTTCTTTAAAAAAAAAAAAAAGCAGCACATACGCACATGGTTCCTGCGATGCTCAAAGCTTCATATTTTAGGCTGGAAATAAAACTCAAACAATATTTCTGTTTCTGAATCTAAATAGATATTTGGACTTCTAAAAATCTCAAAAAAGGCACTGGGCAGTTATTTATGCCCTGCATGATTTGGATATGTCCTCTTCTTTTTCTCCCTTTTTGTATACTTGGGCAATTACTGTAAAAACTATGGACGAAGTAAAACATATTTCCCTAAAAATGACAGGTGACTTTCTTTTTGGTTTGGACCTTGTTTTCTCAAGCATGTGAGATCATACCCCTAAAGGAACACCTAACAAAAACAACATCTGTTTGTTAGATTTTAAATAGCCCAACAGCAAATGTTTGCTATTTCAAATGAAGCAGACTGACAGTGCAACTTTAGTGTAGAGTTACTTGCTTTAGTGAATAAAGCCCTAATTGCCAGATATACATACCGTGTATCCACTGAAATCTGTGGCAAGTCTCCCAATTAACTGGATGATCCCGGACTGTACACAGCTCCTGTCAATCATTTTACAGCCAAACTCGGTGATAAAGAGTCCTTGCTTGTCATTCTGCTCTAGTTTTGGCGGCTATTTTAGTTAATTGTAAGCACATGGTGATCCAATCTGGATGTGCATAAAGAAGGGAAAGTGTAAACTCTTCCCTCGGCCCCTTTGTTTGTTTTGCTTTTAATTTACCTTCTCTGTGCAGGAGCAGAATTTTAAAACAAAAGGCTCCATGAGCGCCAAAGGAAGCTTGCTTCTTGGTTTTTTTTCCCCTCCTAAACTACATTTTAGAAAAAGGGGATTCTTTTTAAAGAAAAGGACTAAACAGCCCTGGTGGTCCAGCAGACTAAAGCACTATTATTAACATCAGCTGCCTGCAATTACTGCAAGTTCAAATATCACCAGGCTCAAGGTTGATTCAGCCTTCCATCCTTTCTAAGGTAGGTAAAATGAGGACCCGGATTGTGGGGGCAATAAGCTGACTTTGTATAAATATACAAAAGTATGAAGGCTATTGCTTAACGCATTGTAAGCTGCCCTGAGTCTCCGGAGAAGGGCGGCATATAAATCAAAATCAAAATTAAAATAAAATAAAATAAACGAAAGGAGTAGTATTACCTCCCTCTCCCTACATAGTAGTCATGATCCAAATCAGGGCTCTGTTTCTCAGGTGACAGACTTAAAGCATCACCTCCCATTAGATCATTAAGCAAGTCACTATGGTTGTTAAGTGAAACATCATGTCACCACAATGTACAATGTTTTCCGTTAACTGCTTGTTGCAAGCCGATCAGGAAGCATGCAGATAGCAATCACATGACCATGGGACACTGCAGTGTGAGGATTGGTCACACAGCTTTTTTTTTTAATACACTTGTATCTTCAAAGTTGCTAAATGAGGTAGTTGGTAAGTGAGGACTACTCACTGTATATTCTGGTGGTTGGAGCCAATCACTCTATTACGTATTTCCTATCCAATTCATATTTCCCATATCTCCATGTCTTTTTCATCACAGAGTAAAGGACTGACTGCTGACCAACTAATTACGTCAGGAAAGTGCTTTCCTGTTTGAATCAGGATTCATTAAATGAAGGGAAAAAC